GGCTGCGCTCTGTTAAGCGGAGCCAGGGTCCTGCCTGAGGGGCAAAGCGGGGCTGAGCGCCGGTGCGTGTGTGTCCGTTTTTTTTTCCCCCCGCTAGTCTTTTCTTGCTCTGCAGCAGCCGTACCCGGTAATAACCCCTAAGAGTAAGTCAAGCGGGGCTCTTCGGCGCCGAGGCAGAGACGCGTGCCTCTCCCAGCTCCTCAGGCGCTAGTTTTCTTTCGGCATCTCACCTCAACTCACCTGTTTTTGAGGTCTTGAAAACGCGTTGCAGGTTATAAACGGCAGCGAGGTGGGGTGGGTAGCCTTCTAGGCAGTGTGGCGTGCTGGTGAAGTGGTGACGCGCCTGGCGGCTGCCCGCCGTTAGCAGGGGCCGCGAGGCCTCCACCTGGCCTGCCTGTTGGGCTCGAGGCCTGCAGTCGCGTCCACCTGCTGACTCCGGGCTGAGGTGAGCAGCCTGATGCGCTCGCCGTTTGCGTAGGCACCGCGTGTTTATTGCGCGATGTGGCCTTTTAAGACACAGCAGGTGCTGCCTCTTGGGGGTGAGGGGAAAAAGAGGGAGCAGGTGGTGCAGGAGGAACACAGGTGAGACGGATGGCTGTGAGAGTGAAGACTACCCTCTTTGGGGTTTTTGGGGGCAAACGTGGGAGCGTTAACCTGTGACATGCCCCTGATAATCTTGTTCGTTTTTAGGAGCAGATGTGTGTATCTCTTCTTAATGAACTTTTTTTTTTTTTTTTGGTGTGTATTTGAAGGGTGCGAACAGCTATGGACAACTTGGTCTTGGTCATAAAGAGGATGTGCTGGTACCTCAGTCAGTGAAAGATGTTTCCTGCAAATATCAAGGCTTTAAAAGCATTACTGGTGGAGGAGGACACTCTGTGGCTATCACTGGTAAAAACGTTGAAGCATTACACTTGGAAGGAGTATATGGCTTCTAAAGGCTTCCCCCCCCAGCTGTGTCCTGTGTCTCTTTGTTGATTTTGTGCTGCCACCTGTCTGTGGCTTCTGTTTCTGAGCAAGTACCAGTTCTTTGTTGCAAAGCAGGTCCTTCCCTAGCTGTTAACTGAATATTTTGGGGCCGTTCATCTGTTTTTGTTTTTCTGTGGTTATTTTATGGATAGGTGAGGACTGTTTCTTAACCTGATTCAAAGCACAGCCTTTCTATACAAAGCTGCTGATTTTCTGAACTGAAGGGGGAAAGGGGAATCAAGTGGGAGGTTATTCAGTTCTGGGAAGTTTAAGATAAGGTGCAGAAAATAACATCTGGTCTTTGAATGGTTTCACTGTATATCATAATTAATTATGGGAAAGAAGGGCTATGGAGAGAAGTGTGAATGGGATAAAAAAAACTTCATCATGGATCTCAGTGAGAGGTGCCTGTCTTGTAGTACGAATTGTCTCCCTTGATGATCCAGGCTCTCTCTAGCTGTGCTTACTCTGGATAGAGCTGTATTTCTCGTGCATCAGAAATAACTATTTTCTTTCTTTTTGTTCGACTGCAATATCTACAATGATATATAGTCATAGTCCTTATTTGTCATAGGATGTCACGTCATATAGTTTTTTTGTTTTTAGTTTATTGTGAAATGGAATTTGACTTTTTTTCTTTCTCCCCTCAGATGCGGGAGAGCTCTTTGTATGTGGCCATAACAAGGAAGGACAGTTGGGATTGAATCACTCGGAGGATGTACTGCATTTCACTTTGTGCACTGCCCTGTCTGGCTTTTATGTGACACAAGTTGCCTGTGGTTGGAACTTTACAATCATACTAGTAGGTAAATCCGTCTCCCTAATAGCTGGAGAAGTACTACACCGTAGAGGAGCAGCTGAAGGCTCCACGTTGCTGGTGTCTGTGCAGGGCATAGATGCTCATAGGTTTTTAAGACACACACGTTACAGATTAAATTATTCAGTGTTCCTTGTATCCTAGTGAACCTCAGACCTTTACTGAATGTAGTGTGTAAGACCAGAAGCCTCAGGAGTTTTGGAAGGGGAAAGGTTAGGTTTTTTTTCTGAGCTATTTGGCTGTGATATTTTGTCTGTTCTTTTGCTGGAATGTTATAGTGCTTTACGCATGCTCACAAATATACTGTTGTGCTCCAAGCTGAACAGGCTTTAACATTTCATTTTGCAGGAACTGGCCTGGTTCTCTCCTGTGGGTCTAACTCTTTTGGACAATTAGGAGTTCCTCACATCTCCGGTCCATGCTTGATTCCACAAAAGATTGAGGTAAAGATTCCAGAGAAGTTATGCCTTATAGCTCTGTACTTTGTATTGCTTCCAGCAACTGAACAGAAGTCTGATGACTTCAGTGGGCTTTAAGTCAGACTCTTCAGCTACTGTTAAGCTGTATGAAGGAGCTGCCATTTTTTTTAGTGAAAAAGCTGTGTATTTCATGAGCGCTTGAAACCATAATGCATTTTGATAACATCTGTAGAATAGGTCTGATGCTCAGATGGTGTGGAGTGATACTAAAGCTAGTAAAACTATGCAGATTTACTTGAACTGAAGCTTTGTATCAAGTTTGTAAGATACTGGATATGTTTTGCTGCTTGAAGGTTTTTTATGAATTTGCTGTAGCTTGTTGGAGATTCATGTTTAAAGGTACCTTGTGAAACAAAACAAGCCAACAACAATCTCTCCCCCTTGCACCCCCCCCCCCAATATAAACTTCCTCCTAGAGTTCAACAAAATTAGCTATGCAATTTCTTTTGTTCTATTGCTCTTGTGCTCTGTATGCAGCAGTTCTGTTCTTAAATACACTTGTAGAACAGCATGTACCTATTACTGTAGGAGTTTCCTCTCTAAAATGAAGACACTAGTATTATTTCCTGATTTTTAAGAACAGTTAGAAAAAGCAAGCTTGATCATCCCCAGAATAATAGTAGTGTAAGAAAGTATGTAGCTGTAGAAAAACTAGACCTGTGAGAATTAACTTCATTTGTTTTGCCTTTGAGGTTAAAATGATTTTTCCTGTTGCATGTAAAGGAATGGAAAAGTTCATTCATTTTCTCCATACCTAAGCTTCGGTATTTGTCAAACAATATCAGTTTCCGAGGAAATAGGACGGAAAATTGGATATTGCTTTTTCTGTTGTCCACTACTCTTGTTTGTAAATGCAATAGGCTGGACTCCAGCAGAGCATCTAATATTGCTTCTCTAAGTCGCATGGAAGTCTTTGACCGATATTTGTTGGTGAGGCATTGTTGAGTGTGAGTTGGGAACTCAGAATATAGCTCCAAATTAATCGCTTAAAAACGTTATGAGAAGTAGGTACTGATGCTTTTGTAATATCAGAAGAGTTTACGTTACTAGGCTTACAGCCAACAATAGGAAAAGAAATTTCTCACAGGATTTTTTTGGTTTTTGTTTTCTTTTTTTTTTTTTTTTTTTGGAAGAACCCTAATGAAACTTTCCCATCCAGATCAACTCTCATGTCTGTCCTGTGCAAAGACAGGAACAGCAATAACTGCAGAGCTGGAAGGGTTCTCAGACAAGAAATTTAGCCCTGTAGCTCGTGCCAGGCGCCACTCTGTTGCTTTTTTGAATTTTGTGATAATCTGGTGATATAGAGAGGAGTAGTCTGTTAATGAATGGGCGTTACATCACCTGATGTTTGTACAGCCTTCAGGTTTCCTGGGAACACGGTTCCAAAACAGTGCCTTGGAAATGGTGGTGTTGGCAGTGCTAATTTGAATCTGTCTCCTCTCTGATCATGTGACCCATTCATTCATCTGGATATTTTCTCTTTTGGTTTGTGTCTTGTTAAATGCTTGGGGTTGATGTCATTTGTTTTACATAGTGTTACATCTGTGAGAAGAGTAGTAAATTCTCAGAGCACTCAGAAGTGGAGAAAAAGTCAGAATAGAGCTACTCTGTGCAAACTTAATTCACTTATTTTGTGCACATGTGCCTAGGTATAGTCTTCTGTTGCGTGATCATATCGAACGAGCCTCAGTATAGGTGGTACAGTTTCTTTTCTTGATACTTCTGAAGACATTCCCCTAGCCTTGAATTGTCAGAACTCTTTTCATAGTTCTATTAGTTTCTGTTCTATAGAACCATTTACACTTTTGTGTCTGGCTTGACATATCTTGCTCTGAGACGTGCACCAAAAAAAAAGGCAAAGAGCAACTCAAGTATTTTTCTTTTGTGTGAGTAGTCCCTGAAAGAGAAGGTGGTGGATGTTGCTGCAGGACTGAGACATGCTCTTGCTGCTACAGGTAAATGTGTCATCTTGCTTTATCGTTTCATTAATAAATGGATAGTACTTTAATGTTTGGGGTTTTTAATGGTTTAGAAAACAAAAGGAGTAAATTTTACTATAGTTTTTAATTGATTTAAAATATCACAGGGAAATTACCACTGAAAGTCTTGTAAGATTTTGATACAAATTGACATAACAATAAACGGGCTAGAAACGTCTTTCTAGAAATCTCTGAAGAAGTGTTCTCAAGAATTCAGAGTGACAGTTAGTTAAGGCGTTAATTTTCTGATGGATAGAAAACATACTGATTTCTTTTTTTCCGCTTCTGAAACAAAACTAAAATTACTCTTTTCCTGGAAAAATTACTTCTCATCAATCAAAATATCTTTTTACTATTTTGAATTCATGATTTTTTTTAATATTCAGAAGAATGAGTTTTGTTTTGTAGAAGGGGTTTCAAAACAGAGCTGTGCATAAAATGTTTTTAACAATGTAATTGAAATTGACATCTGGAAAAATCACAAGAATGAAATTTTCTGTTCATTGAGAAGGGAAGGACCTATTCAGAGTAAAATTTTAGAAGGTATATGTTCAGTTACATACCTTTGAAAATCTGATCCTCTGACTTTCTCTGCTCTCTCTGCTGTATGTATTTGGGAGGCTCATAACTTCTAAATATTTCTCCTGCTGTTTTTATAGATTTCTAGTTTGTTCATGGAATAACTGTAGAAATGAAAACCTTCCAGGTGGCATAGTTGTATCACAGTTGAGAAACCACAACTTTTTTTTTGGTTATGCAACTTCAGTACAAGCACCTGGAATCTATATCTGGCTGAATAGGAGAATGGGATCTCTGGTGTTTGAATGAATATTGAGAATGAAGCTTCCCTGAGCTCTAGTGTGATGGAAATCTTCACTGAGGGCTAGGTCAAGTCTCTGTCTGCTGCTGAGCAGAAGACAAGTGACTTTACTCCCTCAGTGTGCTAGACCGCACAACCAGATTAGCTTAAAAAGAGGGAAAGGGCAGAGAAAGGTCACTTCTTTGCTGGCAGCTCAACCATGGAACATGCTTTTAGTAATAAATAAAAGTCGTATCTGTTCCTGAAGTACTGCAACTATGAGACTTCTGTTACTGAGTCCTCAATAACTCTCTAGTGTAAGAGTTAGAAAGCTGGTACAGATTGCTTAGTATTTTCTTCATTTTCTTTCCTGTGCAATGAGGCTACAACTGCATGTTGCCTGAGGACTTTGCCAGGTTTCTCCATATGTTGTATGAAGTACGCTTCTGGCATGAAGGGCTTCTAAAGTATAACTCCAACAGGTGAAAGTGAAATGAATGTACTTTTAAAACCAGTTACTGGGTTAAGTGATTTTTGTTAGTAGTTGATGGATTTTAATCTCTTCTCTCTGCATCCTCTCTGGGAAGAGAGTGGTTCAGTGTTTCAGTGGGGAACTGGCATGGCATCTCGGGCAAAGCGTACAAGCCAAGGAAAAGCTCTCCCCCTGTTCTTGACAGCAAAGGAACCCTGTGGAGTAACAGGTAATCCAAGAATCTGATACTTTGTAAAGGCAATAGTGTGGAGATATAATTTGGAGTGATGTGCAGCGTCCTTTTATTATAAAGTCACTTGGTATTAGAAACATGTAAGCTCATTCTATCCTGCAGATACTCTGGTAAAAGTTCATAATCAACGGGAAAAATAATACTGACTCTTGCAGTGTCTATGATCCATAAGCAAAGCTTTTGTTAAAAAAATCTCTATTATCCTAATGATATTATACTTAGTACAGCTTGGATGATTCATTTGCTACAGCTGTGTTTTATGTCTATATGTAAAATATCTGCTCTGCAAATTTTATAAGACGAATTTTTCTCTAGGCCTGGAAGGTGTAAAGGTGAAGAGAGTTGCTGCAAGCTCCTATCATTCTGTGTCACTCACAGGTAAGCCTCAGGTACAGAAGTAAAATTCCTTATCTCTGCCTATAAAGGCTTTTGTACTTTAGAAACTTTTGTGGATTTTGATTAAACTGGTAAAACTTGATCTGACTTAGTGCAGTCAGTTGTTGAAATTCTAGGAACTATTCTTCATTCCTGCATCTTGCAGACGTTTTGTGCTGTTTTCTGAAAAATTTCCCTTTTTAAGAGGTGAATTTATATTTTGAATTCTCTGAATAACCGTACAGAATTCATGGGGCCAGGCATGAGTAAGTAACAGTCTGGCTTCTCTGAGTTGGTGGTTAGATGCTCCGAAAGGATTCGGACAAATGTGGTTGCATATGTCTCTGCTGTTGCAGCAAGATGCTGCATCAGGTAACTCTGAAGGGACTAGCATTTTAACCAGTGCAATTCTGTGTCCTTGGAAAAAGGCTACGTTAGGTGGTTGCCCCAAGAAAGGCTACTGTGTTTATCCTGCTTCTGCCACCTAAGCGAATGCCTCTGCCTGGGGCTATGCAGAGACATGAGATAGTCTGGAGCTGCAATAGGCGACTCTAACACAATGCTGTGTTGTGCAGTGTGCAGAACTACATGAGATGGTGTAAAAGCACAAAAATCACTTAAAACAGTAAGAAATTGCTTAAATCAATTATTTCCATACCTTTGACCATTTATCCTTTGATCTTTAGGTAGAGCTCCTATGTTACGTTTTGAGTTTAGGCAGAGCTCCTATGTTACGTTTTAAGTATCTAGTAATTCATAATGAAAGTCAAAGTATTTTTTTTGGCACACTGGGAGAAGGAAAAACAGAATTGCTTTTCATGTTGTAATCTTACATTTTTGAAGGGTGGAAACTGTATTGTACCTTATGAAGACAAGTCCTTACCTAACCCTTTAGAAACAACTTTTTAGCACATATGCAGCCATCTGGTACCTCTGCCATTGTTAAATGGAGCATTGGAGTATTTGCTTATGCAGATCTACAAAGAGGTTTAGTTGTATGGAGAGATGCTACAAGATGTGAATTATTGAATTCTGAGATGCAAAGTCTGTATGCTATTAGTAAAGAACAACTGTGAGGACAAACAGAATCCGCCTTAGCTAATTAACGCTTTCTGTCTGCTGAGTGAACAGATTTTTTTTTTCATGCTTTTGCTTTTTATTTAAGAAGGCATTCTATTTGGCAACAGGGAGACAAAACCCACCGAAGTAGGTGCCAAAGCTTTTAATAATATAGTACCATTGCTGCCCTTCATCCTGTGTTAGCCTTTAAAGGTACTTGTTTGTTTCAAGCTATTGCTGTGTTTAGTATTTAATAAGTGAGCTCTGCTTTGTGGGGATTTTTTCGGGAATCTCGTGCACTGTGTGGTGCAGTTCTCTTTGGCTGTCTCATGAATCACCTGCTGGTAGAACATGAAACAGCTGTAATGAGGCAGGTTTTTGACACGACTGCTGAAGTGGAGTGTGGCATGAGTGGCAGTTCATTTAAAAAACAAAACAAAACAAACGCCCCCGATTGTGAAGGTGAGGTGCTGCTTCTTTATCTATATCCAGACTGACCCAAACCCTCCAGTTAAGCGAATATGCTACTGAGCATTAGGGTCTAGGTTTTTGTTAAAACCTGCTCAAGAAGTGAGATGAGGGTTGAGCATGTGACATTTCTGAGGATAAAGTAAACGCCTCCTGGAGAGGAAAAGGAGGTGACAGAAACAGTGCATCGTTAGTTGTGGAAATATTGTGTCCTATATGACCATAGGAAAATATAATTTTTTTAATTGTTTGAAACAAGCTGTCTCTGTCACCTTTTTTTTTCCCCTCTCCAAAATATTTTTACTTTATCCTGGGAAAGAATTTATCAATTTTAGTTGAGAGTTTTAATGAAATAATTGCTTGGTTTGTTATTCCTTTTATCTGAGAAATTAGTCCTGCAGACTCCTGTCAAGGAGGTATAACTTGACACTTACTGGCTTTTTTATTTGTGTGTATGTGGGTTTTTTTTTTTTGTGATAAAAAAAAAAAAAAAAAAAAAAAAAAAAGAAAGGGGGGGGGGGGGGGGGGGAAAAAAGGACAAGCCGAGAGAGTTCCAGTATGGTAACTGCCTTTTTAAACTATTTAATGACCTCAATTTGGTAACAGTAATATATGGTAGCCTGAGTGTTGCTTGTTTTCCTCTGAAACTTGTACTTTGTCATGCTGCTTGTAACGAGTACAGCGTTGAATAAGACTTCTAGAAGCCTTGGATATGGTGGATGTGTGCTCTGAACAACTCCATGCAAATGATGTGATTTCCAGTCTTGCTGTGCCCGTGATCATGTATTCCACGTGTGCATGGTTTAGTGTTTATGGCTTGATGCTCATGCAAGGTGGTAGGGGACTAGCTTCAGGAGGTCTGACACAGTTCATGTTCTGTTACGTACTTCAAGTGGAGTATCTTCTTACACCTGGAAGCCTAGAACCTGGGCTGAATCATCTTGTGCTGAAAGGATTGAATTGATATAACATCTGCAGAAGTACACCTTGAACCATCTTCTTACTGTCTGTTGGTCATTAGGCTGTGAGCAACTCAGACTGATACTGAGGAGCCACCTGAAGCAAAGTGGGTGTTCCTGTAAATATAATTATTCCTCTGGGTGGCATCCTGGAACGTGCACTTGTGCAAATGCGTAGTCAGCAGTGAGGTGGATGAAGACAAGTAATTGCATACAAAAGTATCTCGGTAGTGGTCTAGTAGTGTTTTGAGGTATGAGAACACTTCAATTTTTTGGGAGGGTGGTTCCTACTTTAGTTGTGCGTTCTTAGCTATGTGTCACGTTCCTTTGGGAAGTGACTGAATGAGATAGGGCGGGGAGCATTAGAGACTGTCCCTGCTTTTAAGGAGTTACTGAATTTGCTCAAGCTGAAGAGGCCAGGAGAGTTGCGGGCAAAGCTGGAAGCCTGTAGCTTGTGTGGAGAGACTGGGAGACTACAGTGCAGCCAGACAGGCTTTGAAGTGACAGAACATCCCAGGTGCTGGAGGGAACTTGCATTATTTGCTGCACTTTGGAAAGTTATTGAAGGGACTGAATCTAAGCCTTTGGGTAGAGGTAAGAACTGGCCTGCGGGGGCAGAGTGGGTGGAGAGAGTAGTGTATAAACTATAAACCCTTCTTATTTTTATTCTGTGTCATCCATATGCATTGAGCTTTTTTCTCTGAGAAGTTTATTATTCTAGTTAGTTTTCTAACAAAACTTGGCTTTTGCTTTGAAAGCTTTTCAGTTATCTTTGAGATGCTCACAGTAGAACTGAAGTCTAGGCAGTTCAGCCTCAAAGCTCAGGGAACCAATGCAGCCCTCAGAAAATAGGCATGTTGTTAAGGCCCTTGCAGATGCTTCTGATGTTCTAGGTTAAACATGTGCGTGTGGTAAAGAGATGGTAGAGGAAAAAAAAACATACAATGAAAAACGAAGTTGTATTAAACGCTGTCCTTTCTTCAGCATATCGCGCTGTGTTAAGACAGCATGCATCTGGTGATGTCCTATATATGTCACTTTCCACTAATTTTATTTCCGTATCTATTGTAGATGAAGGATGCCTGTATGCCTGGGGTAGCAACAAACATGGGCAGCTGGTGAGCAAAGAGATCTTTCTTGTTGAGCCCAAGAAGATAGAGACTCATTTTTTCTCACATGAAAAAATTGGAGCAGTTTGGAGTGGATGGACACACTTGGTGGCACAAACAGGTAGGTTACTTAAGAAGCAGCCAGATCTGACACCTGTGCAGTAAGTTATCTTTATTACAGGCAAAATGACTTTTAAATTGATTTTTTTTTTCTCACTGCTACTCGTTAGATTCAGAGAATTTTGCAGTTTCATCTGAGCTGTGGTAGTTTTTTAAAAATGATGAGGACAGACATCCTTTGGTTTGTGTCCCTCAAGTATTATTGTGCTTATATATCATGCATGTTCATAAATACAGTGGCACATGCATGCACACATCAGACAGTGCAGAGAGGATGCGTCTATCAGGTTACTGGTTTTCCAGAATGTATGAGAACTTCTAAAGATTGTACTGTTTGAGTTATGAATGTTTCTTCGGAGAGAAGAGAGTTTGGAAAACTTCTTTCAGATAACAGAGAGGAAAATGTGGCTGCAGCTTTCAGACTATGTGACTATATTTCACAGGAAGAGACAGGCAGAACTTTCATTCGAGGCGGGGGTATAATCCTGATGCAAGTCTGTGTATCGAAGGCATGGAGGCATAGGTATGAACCACTCCCAGATTACCTGAGTCTTAGCTGAAATCTTAAAAAAGGTCATGCCTGTCTCCCTCTGCTGCTACCACCTACTTTGTGAAGATATGAGCTTGCTGAGGTAGTAGGTGAAACAAATTGTATGACTTTGCACAGATGCATTAGCCCTTCTATACTTCAAGAGTGAGGCTAGCTTTCAGGGCTGTTCTTGAGCTGCTCTTCATGAAAGTGTTTAAGGTTAAATACAATTGTGCATTCAGAAGAAAGTCAAATAAACTAAAATAACCGGTCTTGGTTGTGTGTATTTGTTTCTATGTTTGACCATAGAATAAAATGTTGAGAAAAGGTAGGCAAAAAGAGGCATTGTTAGATGTGAAGTGCCTCCCCTCAAGATGAAATTAAATAAAATTAGTATTGAAGCTGTGCAGCCTTACTGGGAACCTTTATACTGAGGACAGTGTGAGAGCTTGTCACATATAGAGGGTCGTAGGGTTAGAGTAATTACTGGGAAGAGATAAAAGGGAGGTTATATGGTAACGAAGTTCATGTGTAAAAGGATGGTTGGTGTCATGAAGGTAACTTGAATGCATTTGTACTGTTGCTGTGTTGTGTAGTGCAAAGGCAGGAGGAAAACGTGGATGAAGAAAGAAGACAGACATTGAAAACTGTTTTGTTACGTTCGTGTGTGATGTCTGTGCAATTTGCTGCTGCTGTTGCACACTGTGTGGTGAGCTAGTTAAATAAGACCAATAAGAGGATGAAATTCTTCTATAGAACAAACAGAGCAGCCGGAGTTATTAGCTGGAGTAGTGTTACACGCAGCATCAATCCTTCCTTGTGCATGCTGCTGGGTGAGGGAAGGAAGAGCAGGTGGAAGCACTTTTCCTAGAATCGTGTTGTGATTGGAAGAGCCTATTGATTTGTCCTGATACAACCTGTTTGTAAAGATTAAACTCCAGAAGAAGCCACAGACCTGTTACCATTATTGTTTATTGGGATCTATAATTATGACACTAATTCAAGGAGTGCTTGGTGTTTAGTGTGCAAGTATTTTGATTTAAGGGGAAGTTCTTGCATGCTCAAAGGTTGGCATGTGCTTAAGTGTTTTATTGAACTGGTGCTGTAAATCCTGCAACAGTTGCACAGTAATACCCTTGCTCTGTGAGAAAAGTGTCTGTTTTAATTATGGTATATTCTGAACTCCTGGTGCTAGAATTCAGAGGGATATGGCGCATGATTGGAAAAATAAATAGATTAAGCCTTCTGTTTTATAGCATTCATTATTTGACAACAAAGTACGTGAGAGATGTCATGTAAAAAAAACCTGCCTCTCTGGCTGTCCTCTTAGCTATTTAAAAGCTGTGTTTGAACTCTGATGTGATTTTGAGAGGATGCTATCTTGAGAATTTGAGCAGGAATTAATGCTAGGTACTGCTTGGAAACTTTTCAGGTGGAATAAAATAATTGGTCTCGGCATGTATGATCCTTGGAAAAGGTGTCGTTCTTAGTCAAACAGGAATGGTAGAGGAAAAAAGGTTATCCTGATTAACCCAATGTTTAGAGAGAGGGTATTGCAAACCTGATTTGCCTTGCTTCACTGTGTCTTAATAATGAATGTTCTTTAAGTAAAACTTCTCCAAAGTGTTAGAAATTTTAATGTGTAGTTGATACTTATCCATGGCCATTACAGGAATAAAGTGACTTTTTTCCTCTTAAAATCAAATACTAGACTAGTATGTTGAGTGGCTAACAGGGAAACTTTTTCATAATGTTTGAAATGAATTGAAATAAAGATAGGCTGACTCTTTTTTTGTCTGCATGAGAAAACTGGCCAAGTGATGTGGTGGCATAAATTATTACTGAAACTGACTTTTATGCATTTAGAATTTTAAGTCTCTTTGAAAGTCAGTGGACCTGAACTTAAATCCTTCAGAATAAGGTTGTGAATGGCCTTTGGCAGCCTGCAGATACCAGTCTGAATCTCATGGGATTTTCAAGGGTTGCTTAACTGCTAGACAGTATGTGAGCTAAGCTGTTTCTGAAATATCACTTCGTGCCTGTGCTTGAATTCTCAGTTGTCTAAGTAACTGCGAAAATGCAGTCCCCTTGAAAAGTTTTCCCTGGGTGTAGTAGATCTTCCATTATTTTACCTACTTCTAGTAAGTGAGGAAATGCAGCTTCATTTTCCCGGTGCTTAGGTCACACAAACAGTTCCTGCTCTCTTTACTCTAGAACTCCACAATTAGTGGGAGCGAACAGTTTTTTGTTTGTTTTTGGACAGTGGAAAATGGAAAGAAGGTTGTAGTATGTTGTTTCTCTCTGTTTGCTGTGAAAGGTAGGACCGTCCTTTGGAAGAACGTTGCGGAGTGTATGGTTTTTCTTATATGAAAGAACAGAAGAGTATTTTACCTAATTAATGGTCTGTCATGATGCAAAATTTAATAATGAAAATATAGATTACTATATTTGAAGTCGTGTTCAGTTATTCACTGAAGGTAGAGGAATTTTAATAGGCCATTGCATTTAGAGTTCCATTTATTTTTTTCTGAACTGTCATCCTGGTTGAAGTAGTAGTAATAAAGCATTCATAATTGCAGCTAGCTTGACAGTGAGTTAAAACTTCTCATTGGAAAAAGATAGGGAGAAACTGGATGGATAAAAGCTGAACGCTCTGTTCATGCAAAAATTTACGAATTCTGGTATTTCAAAGTGACATTTTGATCTTTATCTGCCAGATGAGCAGTACTTGATTACAGACCAAGTGGAACACTAAAAAGTAAATGGGACAGTGATGTTGATAAAAGCAACCATCTGGAGGAATAGTGGATAGTTTCATGGATGCTGTGATTTGACACAGTTAACTGAGTCCAAGGAAGTTACAAACTTCGGATGTTAAACCTGATACCTTTATTATCAGAAGAGAAGGAACGTGGCATAGATCTTTTCCTCTGTTTTATTAAGTTTTCTTGTGTATGCAGACTGGCCTATTTAAAAAGAATTGTTTTTGTTTTTCCTTTACACTATGGACACAATTTTATGTTGTGACCTAAAGTAAAATGCATGACTCTCCTCGTTCTTCCCCACTCTGTCCTTACAAGTGGTTCTAATTGCTCCTAAAATCAGGGTGATACTCGTCTCTGTTCATATTGTATTCTGCCCCGTTCAGTGACTGCTGAAAGTCATGTTTCCTGTCCCTTTTCTTCAGTGTTTGAGTACCTCTTTTTTCATTTGCTATTATTTCTATCATAAACAGTTCAGATGCAAGAATTTCATTCCTGAGGAGTGTGAATTGCTTGACTTGAGGAAGTTAACATTTTCATAGGATGTTGTGTTGTTCATCCTCGCCCTTAACTCACCCTTTTCAACTCTGATTCCTTGCCCTTCTTAAGGGGAGAGCTGTCTCTTTCAGACTATTCCTGTTTCTGGATTTTTAGATTATCTACTGTACACAATCTTACTATAAAATAAATCTCAAAAACCTGCAAGACAGCTACTTTTTTTTTTTCTGCCTTGATTCCTCGTTCCTACAGAAGTCATACGATTAGGCTATTAGAACCATTTCAAAATAAGTTGCATTATTCTGCTGCCGGTGGTGGTACTAATCAATGATGGTTGACTGAAAAAGATTAAGGTCAAGGCTCTTGTTGCGTCTGGTTGCTTTTCATTGCGTCTCTGTTGATAAGATATGAACTTGTTAGTGTCTTTGGTTTGTTCATTGTTTTCTATGTTGGCATTTATGTCGAGTGACTTTCTAGGCATGCATTTCAATCGGGACAAGACAGTACTGTTGTTGCCCTTTATATGAAGGACAGATCAGATGGTGTCCTTCTGGCCGCAGACTCCAAGTGCAAGCTTTATTCTCTTCAAGCAACTGCTCTGTGAAGTGCCTTGCTATGGCACAAGGAGCACCACTGCAATGTAGAGGATGTTATTTTGAATGAAAATGAGCAGCTCTTTTTCATTGCTCTGACTAACAATGCCAACTTTAATTTATGGGCCTTTTCCAGTTGATATAAACTCTTTGAGTGGAACTGCTCAAAGATGAACATGAATCTAGAAGTTATTACTTAGGTCATTTAAGTGATCCAAGTCGTGGCCTATAATGCTAAAGATCTAAATTAGGCTACTTTAGGAAAGGATAGAACTGATATGACTTGAAGGCACACCTACGTATATAGCAAGAGAGAAGTCTTTTAAAGACTTAAAGGTGAATCATCAGCTTCAATTCAAAACAAGCTATATCCTTATTAACTGGGATGCCTAATAAATAGGCTTTCTTAATCTGATCTGTTTGATTATCCAAGTATTCTCCTGAATACACTCACTAATTTTTTTTTCACATGAGTTTCATATGAAATTATGCTTTGGTTGAGCTCAGATAAAGAATTTTGAGCTCCTTCACCCAGAAGGAGTTACCTTAAGAATGCGTTTACGATGCTATTTCTGCCTATGTGAATCTGCCTACAGCTAAAAAGTTTCAGAGGAACAAA